ACTAAGTTTACGTTAGTTTAGTTTAGTACTACCGTACGTCTACTACTAACCTAACGTACTACTATACTATATATATATATATATATATATATATATATATATATGCATTCTTTTTCTTCCTTTTTTCTGAAATTTGATCATATGTGTTTGTCTTATCTAGGTTTTAGCTCCGGTACACGGCTCCTGTGCTTGGGCCGTGCCACTCTATTATATCGAGTTAGGCATCATAACATGATCTCTTGTACTTGTTCTCAAAAGTGGACTATAAACCGGAGCATTTATAGTCTAGGGAATAATGTTCTCACGTTTTGACATTAATATTTGGGTAGAAATAACTACATAAACCACCGCTATCTATTAAGAAAAAAAATAGAGAGGAAGAAAAAAGGTTCTGGCCTTCGAGTTAATATACAGTTCTGTTGAATTTTGGGTATTTATTTGTTTGAGAAATAAGATTAAGTTCAGCTAAATAAAAGAAATATTATTATATAGTTGTCAATTAGTTTTCATGTAGATTTGAAAAATATCAGGAGGGTGGGCAACTGCACCTGATGGACCATATGCATGGGGTCTATGCTTCAAAGAGGAGGTGAGCGCACAAAGTAACTATTGTGACTCCACCAACAAGGAATGGCCTTGCTCGCCTGGGAAGTCCTATAAGGGAAGGGGACCCATCCAAATCTCATGGTAAGCCATAAAAAATTGATTTCAGTAGTTTCCATAAACATCTTATGAGAAAAAAACATCAATATTTTTCTAAATATCCAAAATTGTCTAACCAAAAAGAAAAAAAGATTCAAAATATAGATTTTTCTAAAAGATAGCAGTCTCTCAATTGAAAAGAGAGACCACAAAAGCATTAGAAATTTAGATGACCAGAACGAAACTTTGAGAGGCTAAATTGTGACAATAAAAGTTAATTATGTTGAAATTATATATGTATTTTTTTTTTTTTACTTCATGATGTTGCACAAATACGTTATTACATGACTATGAAATAGTGAGCTGTAATTTCATTTCTTTTATTAATGAATTATGGGTAAGGGGCCTTCTCCCCCCACTGATTTATCTAAATAATAATAATGCATATGCATATGGGGTTGAACAATTTCATACATTTCAAATTAGATTTTGGTTTTGACTTATAATTTTTCTAGACTTTTTTAGACTTTGTGATTTTCGTTTTTCTTTTATTTATTTATTTAATTTTTATTATTATTATTTTGGTATGTCAATGTAACTTAAAGAGGACAATAGGATGAAAGGCAAGGGATTTTACTTAATTAGCAATACTAATCTTAGGAATGGTTTTTAAGCCGTGTAGTTTGGTTGGATAGATCTACGACATGACGTTTTATTGATGTCTTATTTGAATGTCAATAAAATAAGGATAACAAAAATGCTGATTTTCGGTAGCAAAGGTATGCGGTAGGTAAGCCATGTTTAGAGTTCAGTAATGAACTTTATTTATCTAACTACTACGGAAAGATGCGTCTCTATGATCCTATTTTACTCGAAAACAATGTATTGCAAAGATCATACGGTCGGGATTAGATCCTATTGGGTCGGGTTGCTTCAAGGAATAGGAAGACCCAACTCTGCCATATCCAAATTCGAAAGAAAGACCTATACGATCTTTTATCGAGAAATACATTTTTTTTTTTCACCTTTTTCTTTTGGTAAAAGATCACCTACATATGGTCATTATTATAATAAGATAAATTTCAAAATAAAATCAACATAACAATAAAAACAAGATCTTAACAACTTGATGCCATTGAAACAACTATGCACTATGCTTGAGAATAAAAGATAAGCTTGCAAGAAACAAAAAGGAAGAGTGACAGAGATTACTTCAACCGAGTTTATTACACCCCACATCGAGTCACCACCATCCAATGGCGTGGGATCAACGATCTAGCTTCAATCTCGAACTGAGAGCAAATTTCAGCCAAGCCGCACCAATCGAACATGAACCCTTTGATCACAAACTCAAAACCTAAGTAAATTCTCTTAGCAACCTAGTTTTAGAGAGATAAATTCTCTTTTTGTTAAATACTAAAACCCCTAGCCGTAAAACCACATTCCCACTGAGTTCATGTTCCACTATATCATTTCATTTTACAAGTACTCATAAGGTTTTTAAAGACCACATAAACCCTACAAAATTTGATATAAATTATATATAAATAATACGAATTATGTAATATAAAATATATAGAATGAATTTTTATAATATTTTATATTTTACCCTACCAAACCCATTGCCATCACTAATCTTGTGCCAAGTTCCTATGGTTTACTTTTGCTACAATTTTAATTATAAAATTTAGCAAACTATTTAGATGCAATTATTAAAAATTGTCATTTTATTTTAAAATAAAAATTGTACTGACGTATCTTGTGTTCCTGCGAGTGATTGAAAATTCAGCCCAGCAATTGAGTTACTTGGGCTCAAGCCTTTGCTGAGCCCAAGTTGTCCCTAGTGGGGTGTCCAACTCAGGGATATTAAAAAAATAAAAATAAAATAAAATCTTAAAATGTAAAGAATGTATTTGGGATATACTTTTTATATTTTCTATGATTTTGACAAAGATTGGAAAGTGTTTTGGTCATAAATACTTATTTTTATATTTTCCCATCTTTTTTAGATTATTTCGAAAATACTCCTAATCACAAGTTTTTTTTTAATTTTTTTTTTTTTACTTTTTTTGAAATTTTAAAGCATTTTACTTAATCACACTTTAAACATACATTTCCTATTTTTTTTAATTTCTTTATATTTTTTATAATTGTTTGACCCTTTTTTTTTTACGATAAATTTTTTGACCTTTTTTTACAGCAATATAACTCAACACTAATTAATCTGAGTTACTCGGACATGGCCCAAGTAATCAGCTTGGTCGAGGACCGATTGTTCAGTCCGAGTTGCACTTTCTCACGGTTCTATATTAGATTTTCAAAGTACTAGGAACTTGGACGCATATTGTATTCCACAAATGTGTCGGTGTTCAAATAGCAGTGCTTGCCTCAAAGTTAGGACACTTACAATCATGGCCACTTACCTAAGTTATTAGTATTTGAGAACCTCATGCCTCTCTGTCATACTCACACAACTACATATCCGATTAGCTAACAAGTTAATACACACACGAAAACCAGCATTCACGGTGATTCTCTCAAATAAAATAAATAAATAAATAAATGCTGATCTATTTTACTTAGGAATGCTTGGACTCGAGTAGTTTTAGTTGACTTTAGAAACATTGCATCTCAAATTCGATTCCTATAATTGAACTATCCAAAAAAAAAAGAGAACGAAAAATGATTTTTTGAGCCCACCGGCCTAAAAAATAATATAGATTGTGGTGCTAATATTCCATTTGAGCATATCCAACGGCGAGCATCTTTCAACACTATTCAATTTTAATCTTTCTGTGTAGGAAATTTGTTTCATGTGGTGGGGACGGTATTTCTACATTTCTATCCCCAAGGTGTAAAGCATCCATCTTTAAGATGGATGCAAATAGGCAGTCTATGGAAAAATAATTGAAACTAGTAGTCCAAATGTTTTCTTAATAGAATTATTATTTTTAATTTTCAAAATTTATTTCTTTTTTTATATTCATGATCTCCAAGTTAGTGATTAAGTGTCCTTGAAAATTAGGTCAAAAAATCCATCTCAAAAATAAATTTGTAAGAGGTAACTCATTTCTGCATGGACTCAAAGAAACCATGTCCTTCTATCCAATTTTTTCATCTGAATTGTATAGAGATTGTTCAGAAAAACTAGTCCATCCGACTCAACCGTATATAGGCCATCCAAATTGTTAAATCTGGTCCATCCGACCTATAGTTTAGCACAGACCAGCCGACCCATAAAATCTTGACCCACAAACAATCTCTCTATGTCTCTCACAAATACACATCTTCTCACTTTCTCCAGTCTTCTTTTTGGATTTAAATGGTCAGGAACTACAACTATGGTCCAGCAGGCAAAGCTATTGGCTTTGATGGTTTGACAAACCCGGAAGTGGTCGCCAATAACTCGGATATCGCTTTCAAAACCGCTCTCTGGTTTTGGATGACTCCTCAAGAGCCAAAGCCTTCATGCCATGCAGTTATGGTAGGCAAATACAAGCCCACACCAGCAGATTTGGCGGCAAACCGAACAAGTGGTTTTGGGTTGGTGACCAATATAATAAACGGTGGTTTGGAGTGTGGCAAAGGAGATGACAACCGAGTCAATGATAGAATCGGTTACTTCAAGAGATATGCTGAGATATTCAATGTCACCACTGGGCCTAATTTAGATTGCTCTAACCAAAAGTCATTTTAATGTGTATTAATTTATATTTTTGTGTCATTTTTTTTCTTTTTGGGTTATTTGTTATTTGGGTAGGTGTTTTGGAGAAAAAAGTAAAGCAAATACCTTCTTTTTTTAAAAAAAAAAAAAGAAAAAAAAAAGTCATGGGTGTCCTGAGTTCGTACTGTTGGGATTTTTGTTGTTCCTGTTGTTTTTGTATTGGTGTGTGAGAAAGAGAGATCGATCGATCCTTGTTTGAGGTGTACGCTTTATATAAAGGAAAAGTTTTCTTACATCAAGGGATGCATGTTCACATATATGTCAGGAAGACGCATCAACCATCCATCTCAAAGATGAATGTTTGGTAATGGTGGTACAAGGGTCTTAAAAACACATAAAAATTTATTTATCATTTTCTATGAATATTTTATTTTTCTATATTAAACTTCACTGTGATGGAGATTCTCAGCTTCTAATTCTTTTGGTTCAAATCCATCGGTTGTACATATAAATGAGTTGGGAGACCCGTAAAAACCTCCTTATATAGATCTCATTCTTTATCGAAAGGAAAAACACATAAGTAGATAAGTAATATTGCCACAATGAAGTCACAATCATTCTTATATGTCATATTTCAAATCAGTAATTAGATTCAAAATTCAAAAAAAAATTCTTAAACTTCATGATACACTCCAAAATAACTAGAAATAACTATCTTTGTTATAAGTTGGTGACAATTACTTCTAGTTTATTATTGTTACAAGGGATTGCATGCTATGAGACAATTTATCTCTATTACAAAGAGGTCACAGTTATTTTTTAGATTATTAGATGCTAAATTGGATGGCTTACAAAAGTAAATGGTATCTATGTATACTTTTTCTTTGATAAGATGTTGTATACTAATAAACTATTTATTTTTGTTACGAGAAGGTCAAACTACTTCAAATCATTAAATGTCAAATTCGATGGCTCGAGGTATGTCATAAAGTTTGAGAATTTTTTTGAACTTTCAGTCTAGCCAATGACAATCTTAGAACCACCAAATTTGCAATATGATTAACAAGGATAATTATAACCTCCTTTTATCAAAGGTAAATTGTCTCTTTGGATACTTTTTTGTAAGACAAATATTAAATAGTTCATATATTTTGATAAATTTTCCTTTTCTTCTCGATTGCTTGAAAGGTGTCTCTAATTCTTTGCTACTTTGTTGGTAACCCATAATTCAATGCATTTGCCTTGAGCGCAATCATTAATTCTAGTCATAAAATGTGAAATTAAACCGGTTAGAAGTGTTAATATTCTCGCTCAAAAATTAAGTATTATTTTCGTGATTGTGACATTTTTGTACTAACCTATATTTGAATATGAATACTTCATGAATATGCTAAATGCTAACATGAAAAAAGAAAGTTAACAAATGAGGCCCTCTTTGTTTTTTTTTTTGTTTTTTTTTTTTGTACTTTTGCACTTTTCTAATAAATATAAAACCCAACTACCGTATGATAGCTCTTTTCTATTAAATATAAAACCTAGCCACCATATGCAAACATAGCCATTTTGTATTAAATATAAAACCTAACATCCACATGAAAACATTTTTATAAACTTTTCAGGTTAAGGTTATTTATTTAGTGTTTAGGTCCAACATTACGAAAAGAAAGTGGTACGGTTTTTAGACTTTATTCCAAAACATAAAAGTGTTTTCTAAGATGATAATTATTTAGGGCCGTTTTGATATCTGGAAATCTATTATACAATAGATAGATTACAAGAAAATATAACATTTATGAAAAAATCAAAAGAGATTTACTCATATTTCCCCAAAAATTACGAGACCCTTTAGCTGAGAGATTTTCTCATATTTCCCCAAAAATTACGAGACCAATTAGCTGAGGAGTCATCTTTGGAAAATCATTCGCGTCTGTCTCTTTACGTTATATCCCTTAAATGCCAACCCGTTTCAGAATCTTTCACTGCTAAGTCCTACTCTCTCCTTCCCTTCCCTAAACCCGTCATCTCTCTCATGAGTCCTAATAACTGGTTTACATAAAATGCTCGCCCCCTCATAGGATACTCGCCCCCTCTCTAAGTACACAACCAGAGAGCCCTAATAAGTATAAAATGCTCCCTTTCTCTTCAAATCCACAACCTCTCACTTGAGCCCTAATAACTAGTTTGCTTAATGTCTTCACTCTCCCTTTAACCAGTTATTTTGGTGTGGATAAACCCTCTCTCTTTAACCAGTTACTTTTGCAATGGTGTGATGATGACTTTAATTTTACATTTGAGTGGAATTTTATGACAAAAAAAAAATGATAGTTTATAAACAAGTATTGGTAAAATGTTGATAATTCATTTCGCATATTTTTTCTAGACATAACTGAACAGTAACAATGTATTTCTTGAATTGCTTATAAATACTACCCAAACAGTAACAATTCATTTGCAGGTAATATATTACACAATAATATATTATGTCAATAACAAATTTAAGAGACAATATATTTTTAGGTATCCAAATTGCTCCTAAGAAATGCTCGTCCAATATTGTCTCTAGAGAGAGAATCATTGCGTATCACATTAAGCGGAGAAACACAAGGAATGTACCAAAATTCTAAAACCGTAAGATAACGAGTCACCCAGTTTGACTCGGGAACAGCCGAGTGGGATCGGGAACAACCGAGTTGGATAGGGAAAATAATTTTTGTCTGCACTGGAGTCACACAAACAAAATAAATACGAAAAAACATTAATAAAAAAGTTCATGTAAAAGCAGCAACAAGGGATAAACAAAATTGAGGTGTATATCAAAAATCTACTAAAAGGTTTTGTTTTTTAAAACTCTCTAATTAATCATTTTGACCTGTAAATAATGGATATGAAAGGTGAAGATCTTCAGCCCTAAAAGTAGGGCCATCTTCAACAAAATTCTGGCAGTTCTACTCCAATTTTTAAAGATTTAAATCTTCTGTAACATGGTTGAAAAAAATTGTATAATCGAGTTTACTAAACCTAAACATCTTTACACAAAGTTCAAAACTAAGTTGGTCCGCCCAAACTTCAAGGAGACTTAAAAAAAAAAAAAAAAAAACCTAGACCACAAACTATAGCTTGAAGGCGGGGCTAAAACTAATGCCCACCTATTCAGCCTGGGCCAATATTGGGCCAAGGCGGACGTATAATCCGCTAGGGTTGGCCTGGCGTCGGTTCAGCTCGTTGCCACCCTTATTTAATAATGGCCCCTTATTCAACGCGCAAGCAAGCTAAAATAGTATTGATATTGTCCACAGAAGGAAAAAAACACGAACATATGGACACCTTATTCAACACCTAACCAAGCTAAAATGGTATTAATCTTGTCCAAAGAAGAAAAAAACACGACTAAAAAGCAAAAGAAGCATTGATCCCATCCTCCACTTTTTCAAATGTTGACATGCCCACTATTGAGTGGGGTCAAATCGACTTGAATTTCTTTTGTTTTCCATCTTAATCCTGTTTCCATTCAAGAATGTGAAAAAAAAACAACTATAGTGGGTAAAATAATAGAGTCTATAACGAGTTGGTCATAATTATCCTCGAGTACCCATTCTTGGCCGATCCAGTCCCAACCAATTCCCATTCAGATTGCCGACCCAAATAAACGAATCAAATGTTTTTGAGTTTCAAAACCATTCTAAGTATTGGATGTGTTTTTAATGTTGCGATGCAAAAGTTAGGAGAGCAAGTCGAATCTCGTCGAAACCAGTAAACTACATCTCCAATGTAACAAGCGAACCCCACTTTCAAAAATTTAAATCACATAAATACGAATCACATAGTTAATTATTTACACAAATTGGAATGTCTTCCACAAATTAGTCTTTAAACCACCACCACCACCCACTCACTCTAAAACCATGAACTCAAATTTGCAACTTGAAAAGTGACAAGGAACCCACCACCACATGATCGCAAACGGGCAAATCCACAATGAGTAAAATAAAAACACTGTAAAGAAAAGGCCAAACACATGGCATAAACTGTAACGGCGTTATGCATTTAATGCACCGTAACGGCATCATCCATCCACCCACCTGCAACAAGGGGACAAGCATTGGTTTTATAAACTTTTCCCTTAAACCCCACAAATCGTAACAACTTCTACCATATCCTCTCAACCTTCGATTCGATGAGCTTTCCATGTGTTTTCTCACATGTATAAAAACTTTCTTTTTTATTTAAACTAAACTGTATTAAGTATCAAGTTGCATAATTTATTTGCGTCACAAAACATAGTCATCCAGTTTTGAATACTTTTGATTCAATAACATTGAGCCTAGGATTATTGGTCCAGACCTCCAACATTACTCTGAGCTAAATTTATCTTTCAGATCAAGATTGATGTCAATACTCTCAAAAAAATTTATATCATTCAAATGAAGATCAGATAGCTGTGAATGTGTGACATGTATGTTTCTAGGTATAAGCAATGTATAGAGACATGAAATGACTTGAAAGAAAGGTGTCAACATAGTTTGCCTCATAGTGCTTGGTATTTTGGGTCAAATAATGATCACCCACTGTTAAAATGCACTCTCTCTAAAAACCCATCTTAGAGATGAAACTTGACTTCAAGTTTCACTGGCCTATATAATTCATCTGCCAAGATCGAAGACGGACTCTGAACCTAAGACTACTTAAAATTATATCTTACATATCATAAATTATTGTTCATCATGATTCTTCACATATCATCGTATCTACATAATAATTTGAGCTGCAAAAATCAAGGATTTTAAACAAAGATACATCTAAAATGATTCAAGGTGTTACAAAAAAAACCAATAAAAAATCTGAAAAAGGAACCATAGTCAAAATAAGTTAGGTTGCATATTACCTATGTAACTTTACCTTTAAAAGTACGATTCAATGTTTTACACAGTCTATTTAGATGATATAAATTTGACACATGTTTGAAACAATTTAAAAAAAAAGGTACATCTTTAAAAGGCTATCAAATCTATATTGCACAAATAAAGTATAAAATAGAGAGCAAAGTTTACCATAACTTTACTTCTACATAGTTATAAAAAATTTCCCTTAGAAGAGGAAAAGCTACCATCATGTCTTACTTTAAGTTGACAGTTATTATGCTCATCTTCTTTGCCATCTCCAAATGTTGCACTCATTAAAGTCACATTGCAAGTGGCTTTTCTTTTCTAGATAAACCAGGCCATGTAGATAAACTCCAATTATATAAGTATTATTTTTGATAAAAATGCAAAAAGTGACTCGACAACGTTATATTTTAAAATAACTATCTAGTATTTGACGCCGCCTCAATTAAAAGAGCCTTCCGATTCTTTTATAATATATTTATTTAAAAAAAAAAAACACAACGCCTAAAAGCAACGTCAATAGTATTATTATCCCCGCCGTCTAAACAAAAAATAGAAGGTGAGCCTATAAACCAAAATATTGTTCATTTTTTATTCTACAACATTATATACTTTTATTACAAGAAAATCACTGTCGCCCAACCGTTCGATTTTGCATCTGAACGCTGAAAATAAAGAGGGACCGCGTGAGGCTGAAGCTTATAGCCTCGTAATATTCAGTCTCATCTAAAATACAAGTGGATGATGAGGCGAACGAACCACTCCTTTTTTTTGTTTTTTCTATGTCTTGTTATATCTTCAAATGAAAAAAGAATGCAATAATACGCAAACAACCACATCTACCATATGCAAAGAACTATTCCATCTCTAAGAATATTTATTGCATTAATTTTCTTTGGGCCTCAAAATTAGAAAAGAAATAAGGCAGAAATTCAGACCTACAAGAATGGTTTAGTAAAATTGAGCCTTAAAACCGATAGAATTTGTTCCGGAAAAATCCGCTATTTCACAATTAGAAGTTCAAGTTCCATAGGTTGCTCGCGAGAAAGATATCGGTTCAGAACTTGAAATTTCCAATTGAAAGAATTTTAGTTTTCCCCAGAAATATAAAGGTATAAAACATAGGTACAATCACTCCCCAAAAACAAACTAAACACTGCAAATCCAGTTCAAAATCAATACATAATAACAAGGCTTAATTTCAGTGAATTTTACCTTGACTGAGGCTTCTTCATTTGGTTATCGCATAAACGGCATAAATAATTCCGGGCACGTACCCAAAAAGGGTCAGCACCAAGCAAATCCAGAATTCCACCTGCAAGAAATACCAAATATCTTTACGAATTCTATGTGGAAATTAGAGCTTACAATAAATAAGATTATTATTTTTTAACCATTAAATTAAGGAATAAACATTTCCTAAGGAAAAAAATGTAAATAAAAAAGAAATAACTATATCAAAATACTAAATTTCCAAAAAAAGAAACTTTTTTCTCTGAATATAACATTATTAACACTATCTCACTGACTACTGTAAATTTAAGTCATTCAAAAAGGAACACCTAAAGCTATGAAATAAGTATATCAAATTACTCAATTTCCCAATAAAGAATCCTTTTTCTCTGAATATAACATTATTAATACTATCTCACTGCTACTGTAAATTTAAGTCATTCAAAAGAACTCCTAAAGCTATGTACCCAACCATTTACAATTACCATGAATTTTTAAGTGGCAAAAATAATATGCACACCAAGATTAATAAGATAAAACAAACTTTTTCATTTCATCATAATTTTTAAGCGATCAAAATGAATAAACATAGATTAAATGGCTAAATTAGATTAAATTATTTTGCGAATTTAAATAAAAAAGAGAGAATATTCTGGATTTTGAAAAACTATCATTGAAAGGAACACCAAGAAACGAAGTACTAGGATTAACCATAACTTCCAGCAATCAAAATGAGTATACTCAGTTAAATTGTTTTGAAAAATTAAAGTTCAAAAAAAAAAGAGAGCAACCCATGGATTTCGAAAATCAAACAGCTGGGAGGAACAAAGAAAAAACCCGAATACAAAAAAAAAACCCGAGACTGTAAAACTAAAATTAAAATTGAATATATAGAGAAAAGTAGCAATATTTGACCACAAATAAAAAAATTGCAATAATTATTGACCCAAAAACAGAGACCAAGCCGAAACTGGTTTAGGAGGAAGGAGATCAAAGAATAGTTTTAGAAAACTGAAAATAAATTAGAAAAGAAAGAAAATACACCCAAAAGAAAAAAAAATCCAGAAATTAACAAAGTAGGCATAAAATAAAATTATAAAAGATTACATAGTTTCCTTCGCACACCAAAATTCGACTAAAAGAAAGGGAAATAAAAACAAAAAAAAAAATCAATATTTACCAAAAAAAATAGGTAATTAATAACGAACCTTGCAACCAAATTTGAGGAAGACCCCAAGAGGAGGGAGAATTATGGCAAGAATAATATCTACACAAGTGGCCGTACTATCCGACATTTTTCACTCGAATTTAAATCCTCAAAAAACAGGAAAATACACAGTGAAAAGAAATGGAAGGCTTCTTATGTGAACAAGGAGGAGTGAAACAATCGCAGCGGTTGGAAGAAGTGAAGAACCAAGACGCTTCTCTTATATCCGGTTTTGTGCCACGTGGCGGACAGCAAGGGCGTCAATGGACCACTCCGGAATCAAAGGTTCCCACGTGACGACCACCGACACGGATTGCTGAGCTGGCAGGTCTGACACGTGTGACTCGATACGGTAGTTTTGATGTATCCTCTACGTCGTTTTGACACGTAAGAATATCGAGATAGGCGTCGAAATTTGTTTTTCAACGGCATCAAACTCGGAATAGGGGATTGACGCTTATTAATTATGACGCATGTGCTGCTGAGGTGTCATAATTAATAAGCGTCATAATTACTCCCTCTGCGAGAGTATGCGGACAGTATACACTTATGATATGTTCCTGCGAGAGTATATACTGTCCGCATACTCCCTCTGCGGGAAGACCTACTTGGGAGAAGTTTTTAAATTTAAAATTTTAGGAATACTTAGAAATTAGTAGATTATTATTTTAAAAATAAATTTTACCTTCACTATCTTTGTTTAATCTTGGGACATTATTTTTTCACAAGTGCATAGAGAGTACCATTTAGAATTGTTGTTTGGATGCGGTTTTGAAGGCCCAGGCCATATGGAGAAAAGTAAACCCTCACGGGAAAATGCATCGCTGGCATGCAAACTTCAAAAAAATAAAGGTTTAAAACTTTAAATAATACATTATAAAATATACTATTTTTAGGGTTTGAAATCGTGGTTTTTTTCTCACTTACCTAATAATCTTGAAATAGATTAATTTTGAAGCTTTTCCAATTGTCGAGCTGCAAAACTCGTTGAAATCAATGAGGGGCCTTTTACTTGTTTTTCATAGGGCCTACGCCTTATTTTAATTCTTTTCGTCTTATTTTTTAGTTTGTCTATGTTCCAAAAGTTCACGTCCTTAAATTTTAGGATCCTTGAACTGATCGTAGTTTATATTACCGGTGGGGGGTAAATTGATAGTATGTTCCAGTGGAGGTATAAAATCTTTTGCCTTCTTTTTTTTAGAAAAAGAAAAAGGAGATGTATTTTTTACTTAACAAAAAAAATAATAATAATAATAATAATGTAATTTCACGCCGACTTTCGATTGAAAAATTCAAAACGGGAATCAGATGCGAAATTCATGCGAAATTGAAAGCTTCCACGTGAGATTTTCACGTGCCTGTCTTATACAGAAACATGATAAACCAGCTGTGCATTGGTGGGAAAGTTAAGCGAAATGGTGCGTGTAGGCGGTCAACGTACAGGGTTCGGGCCCTGTCAACCTGGGCTCGTGCACAACTCAAAGCAGTCTAGGGCATTGGAACTTTAGTTTTGGGCCTGTCCTGAATTCACGATAAAAAGTCCCGAGCTTTGCTGAGATCAAAAACCTGGTCGGCCTTTATATATATATATATATATATATATATAATTTATATATATTATAAATAATATAT